AGTTCAAGCTCACATCTTGAAGCTACTATTCTGGATGCTGATGGTGATGGGAAAAGGGTATCCTGGGAGGAACAAAGGGGATAGAAGATTGCTTGGCAGATAAAATTGCTCTCTAAATCCCCAGATAGGAGTGGAGGATTTAGTATTCATTTCTTCTCCCTTCTAGGTACTCCTCCTCCACCAACCTGAATGCAAGCTGTATCCTCAACAGCCAAAAAATCCAAAGTAATTTAAGTGTGTGTTTGTGTATAAATCTATACAATGAACTGTTAAATTGGGAAGCCTGAGATCCAAGGGTAGTGGCTGTTATTTAAAACTGTATAAGGTGGGGTGGGGGGAGGGATTCAGGGTATAAGCAGGAGGCAACCTGGAACTATGATTTGATGAGTTTCCCCAAGCTAAGTCAGGACCCTTTGTTCTAACCTCCTAGTGTCCAAGAGAACAAATACAGGACTTAAGTACCAGAGGGCCTTCTATGAAATACTTGGCCCCAGAGAACAAATCAGAGTGGGTGGCTGAGTGGGGAAAAATAGAGTTAAAGATTTCCTCTGTGCAAAGAAGAATGGACCCAGGCCCAGGGTTATAATTCATGGGGCCTCAGATGAATCTCCAGCTGCTTCAGCTGTCTCCACATCTGGGAGAAGACTGGCCAAGGAATCCAGCACTGGTGGAAGCCAGTGGATGATGCAGCTCAGTGGTTTAATGCTCCCTGAGTCTTCCAAGAAGCTTCCTTGAACCCGCACCTTTTCTAGATGTTGTATGCTTTGCCTATCTCTGTGGCACATTTTCCATGAAGAACACTTAAACACATCTGGGACTTTTAGAGATCTTTAACAAAGAATGGTGAAGACATAAAGCGCACAAAATGGTAAGTTCTTAAATCTATTTTCTGTGACAACCTAATCTGAATCCTAACATGGTAAAGTAATGAATTAATACTATCTGACTTGAGCAATGGGAAGACTTCCTTCAGTCACTTCCCTCCCCATTAAAATATTGCCTAGACCACAGAGCTTCTTATTTCTTTGCCTACCCACTCTCTTTTCTCCTTGATTTTTTTCCTCCCATTTGGGGTGATAGTCCAGGATGCTTGATTTTCCAGGTAGGCAGGTCCTCACATTGAATAATCACAATCTAAGAGAAGTGAAGTCTAAGTCTCCAAACTAAAACGTTGTACCTGCCTCCTCTGTAGATGCCTCCATGCATCATCCTTTTGGGCTGATTTTCTAGCTAGAACCTTCTGCACGCATCCGGCTCAGCCAAGCAGTCAATGCCTATTCTGGGGACTGTCATGGAGGCTGACATAAAAGTAAAGGAAGCCCTGGTTTTGGTGAGTTTCTAGTCTAGTCCTGTGTAGCCATAGTCCAGTCCAGGAAAAGGGTTTAATATTTAATTAGCAAAAGGGCAAGTTCAAATAGAATATTCTTATGCTAGAAATGGAATAAGCATACACTGAAGGAATTGAGAAACAAGGAGCAAAGCTGCGCTGTGTGAGTTAAATTACGTGGTTTCCTGGAGGAGGTGAGAGTGAAATACGCAGGCACCGGGGAGGCTGAGAGGACATCCTAGATGGAAGGTATGGTTTACAAGAAGCCATGCATGTTGAAACAACAGCTTCTGGGCAGAAGAAGCCAAGCTATTCAATTTAGCTAGAGCCAGGTTTTCACGTAAAGCGTAAAAAGAAACGAGTTTATGACCTGAGCAAAGCAGCTGACCGGGTAGCCTTAGACAAGTAACTATCCTCAGCTGCCTCAACCAGGAAATGAGTGGGTTAGTTGACTAGGGCACTGGGCGAAGGTCTCCATCAGAGGTGAAGAGAGTTAATAATTATGGGAGCAGTGTGTCAGGCACTCCAAACTCTCCTAAAAGATAGTCTTATCCATCCCCATTTCAGAGATGAAGTATCTCGTCCCGAGTTTCATAGACTGTGAGTGACCAAGCTGGGATTAGGGTTGAGTCAATTTCTTCATTCACTATGAATGGACAGCGTCCATTTACCAAGAACCATGCCAGGCCCTGGGGGAGATAACAGTGAATGGGACAGATAGGGTCCTGCTTTCATTTTACTTGGGGTGTGGGGGAGGACAGTCAATAAAAAAGTGAAAATCCAAGTGAATAAAATAGGTTTAAGTAGAAGTACATGCTATGGAGAAAATAAAACATGGAATCATGGTCATGATTTGGGGCTTCTTAGGTTGGGTGGCCCAGGAAGGCCTCTTTGAAGAGGTGGCAAACTTGGGTGGAGACTGGAAGGACAGGAAGAGGTCTGCCTAATTGGCAAAGGGCATAACTGGCCAAGCTGAGGTATTTAGATTTGGCAGCATGGTGAGGCCTCCAGTCTTTCTTTTGGAGAAGGAGTTGCTTTTTATTTCTCAAAGATCTTAAGATGGTGGAGGACAGGCAGAAGCAAGTGGGTGGCAGCAGCAGAGTCCTAATATGGAAGTGGGGTGGCAAACGTGACCTTGGAAATTTCAGAGCAGGGCTGGGAGACGTTGCTCCCATTCACTTCCATCCCTTTCCTGTTAGCATCACCAGAAGACTTCTGGTGTTAGCATCACCGGAAGGTGATGCTGGCAGTCATTTTGGAGGGCCAAGTAAGGCTTGGTAATAATATTAATATTAATAATAAGAATGGCTAATGAGAATATTAACTATTAGATAACATTTAAGGAACATTTTTAAAAAGATTTATTTATTTTAGAGAGAGAAAGTGCATGAACGGAGGGAGGGGCAGAGGGAGAGAGAAGGGAAGCCAACTTCCCACTGAGTGCAGAGCCCATGTGGGGCTCGATCCCAGGACCCTAAGTTCATGACCTGAGCTGAAACCAAGAGTCAGATGCTCAACCAACTGAGCCACGCAGGCGCCCCAAGAAACATATCTTATGTACCAAGCACGTCTGAACACTTTTTAAGCATTAACTTATTTAATCTTTGTAGTAACTATAGGAGATGGGTAGTATTATTATCCTAATGGTAATGATGAAGAAGCTGAGGTTTAGGGAGGTACAGTCACTTCCCCAAGATTGCACAACTGAGATGGGTGGAGCAAGGATGCTCATCTGGGTCCTCTGAGCCTAGGCTCTCAATCCTCATGCAATGTTGCCTTCCATAGGTTTCAAACAGTCATGTAATATTTGATCTGGAAGTGATCTTAGATATCATATAGACCAGAAATTTTTAATTCGGTCCTCTGAGAGAAGACCTCTGATTTAGGACAATCCCTCCTCTTTTGACAGATGAGAAAATTAAGAGTCAGAGAATCAGATTAATGATGGAAATGGAGGGTTGATGCTGAGTTCTGACTTCTGCTTGAATGCTCTTTGTAATCTACTTCAGCATATCCCTAGATACTCAAATCCTGGTTAGGAACCCCTGGCAGAAGTGATTGCACAGAATTACATCCTCCAACTGGGGAGAGACAAGCATGAAATAAGATAATGCACATAAAATTCTTGGTGTGGGGCTCAGCACAGGGTAAGTGCTCAATGCATGTCCATGTCTTTGAGAAAGTCCACATGGCTGGCTTCTGGGCCCAGTGGTGAGAACAGCTTTGCCATGATTGGGGAAGGAGAAGCAAGACACATAGGTGGAGAAGGGCTTCCTCTCCCTGAGCCTGCCATCTTGATCGACATGCCACAGTCCTTACCAAACCCCATCCACCACAGTGAACATAAAATATCTTTGGACACCTCATAACCCATCATTAAAACTGCTGGGTGTGGGAAAACAATTGTTTGCCCTAAATAAGTGACTTATGATTGCCCTTGGTTTGTCGGAATTTTCCTTTAATTATAGGCATAAACACCCATCTCCTTCTCATTCACGTAATGAGTTTCAGCCTTGTGCATCTCAATTAAAGAGGGGCCCAGGAGAATTATGGGTATCTGAGCAGTCTTCCTCTTCCAAGTTGCCATGGGGCTCTTGGAAGAGTGGGTCCTTTATGGGGAGAAGATAATGGGCAAAAAGTGCTCTTGACTGATAGACCAGTCACAGCCTTCTCTTTCCTATAATAATAGAGTTGTTCACTAGAGCCATTCACTAAAAAAATTCCAAATTTCTTCCACACCACCCCACTTTATGCTTCAAATCATTGCATATGCCCCTGTCCTGTCCTCTCTTCTTGCAAACTCAATGTGGAGGCTTTTGGTTCTGGGAAGACTTTCTAGGTATTAGGAGAGACTAGGAAAACCTTCCTTCCTCTACTTGTATTTCTTCTGTGTCAGAAGAGAGAAGTGGGTTTTATGGAGAGGTACAGAGTGTCTTGGGGACCAGTGCCTGAAACAGGGCTCCTCAGAACTAGATGGGAACTCATGGCTTGATGGTCTTGTCCCCAGTGACCCACACTCAGCCTTCCCTTCCCTACATGACACCTGGTCAAGGGATGGATGAGAGAAACTGTTGGAGGAAGTACTGGTAGATTTCCCTGTTGCCCACCAACCAGCCCCTCAGCACCTCCCCGGCAGGAGGACAACCTCTTTCTCCACATGCTCTCCAGGCATTGGTGCTGTTCCAATGGTTCTCTTTCCTTCCCCAAGCCCTGGGTGATAGCAGTTGCCCATTGGGTGGTGTTAGTACCCCCACTGGGACCTGTTTCAAGCTCCTGTTGTGATGTCCCTGAACGGGGAGGGACTGACTGCCCAAATCCCTGAAAATTCAACACTCTGCACCAGCCACTCAGCGCACCACTGCCCCAGGGCAGAAGGTGGGCCTACAGGGCCCTGGGTTTGAGAAGGGTTCTCCATCTTCCAGAGAATATGCCCTTCTAACGACAGGACATTTTACAGGGACTGGGTCTTTTAGGGGACTTTTAGGGGTCTTTGGTTCTGGGTCTTTTAGGGGACACTGTAATGAAGAAACGGCAGGGATGTTGCAAGGGGGGGAGTGGATGAGGCGGGCCTGGGAGAGGGGGATCAGTGGGGAGTCTTAATTCCCAACTCCTGACCCTGACTGCTTTGAGAGAAAGGCTTGGACCCAGGGAGCAGACAGATGTCGGTCGGGGTATAAGTAACTGATGAGTGGGGGCACTGGGGCATAATGGTTGGGCAAAATGCGAACCGAGATACTAAGCGCTGGTTTCTCTAGCCAGCCCACGCCTCCTGCCTCAGCTCAACGCCACTCCCTCCCCGCCAAGTGGCTCTCCGTTCAGGAGGCGGGACCGAGTTCTCCGGGGGCCCCTGGAGGCTCGGGGCTGCAAGCTTTGGGAGGCTGGAAGGGGAGAGAGGGAGGGGCGCTGACTGGGCAGTCCAAAGAGGAGGGGGCCTTTAATAGGCTCGCGCAGCGCCTGGTTAGCAGCGCCGCGAGTGGCAGCCGTTCGAAGAAGCGGCCCGGCACCTCCCTCTAGCTCTCGGCTGCAAATCTCCGTCCTTGCACTTGACAGCGATTGTACTTAAGCTCCCAGGGCGCGCTTTGCTTGGAAAGGCACAGGTAGGAGGCGCGGGCTGCTCGGTGCACGCTCACTGCTCTGGGAGGAGTCTCCCTCCCTTTGCTCTGCTTTCTGGGAGCTACGGACTGCCCCGGAGCGTTGGTGGTTCCCGTGTGCCGGCTGCAAGGAGACGCGCCAGCGGCCGGGAAGCCGGGCCGAGCCCTTCCGAGAGCGCGGCCGTGCGCTGCCCGGCGCCATGCTTCTGCTGGGTATCTTAACCCTGGCTCTCGCCGGGGGACCGGCTGGGGGGTCAGAGCCAGATCAGGAGGTGGTGGTCCCCATCCGACTGGACCCGGACATCAACGGCCGCCACTACTACTGGAGGGGTCCCGAAGACTCCGGGGATCAGGGACTCATTTTTCAGATCACAGCCTTTCAGGAGGACTTTTACCTACACCTGACTCTGGATGCTCAGTTCCTAGCGCCCGCCTTCGCCACTGAACATCTGGGCGTCCGCCTCCCGGAACTCACCGGGAGCTCTCCAGACTTGCGACGTTGCTTCTACTCTGGGGACGTGAACGCCGAGCCAGACTCTTTCGCCGCTATGAGCCTGTGCGGAGGTCTACGCGGAGCTTTTGGTTACAGAGGCGCGGAGTATGTCATTAGTCCGCTCCCCAACGCCAGCGCGCAGGCGGCACAGCGCAACAGCCAGGGCGCACACCTCCTCCAGCGCCGCGGCGCCCCCGGCGGGCCTCCCGGAGATCCCACCTCTCGCTGCGGGGTGGCCTCAGGCTGGAACCCCGCCATTGTGCGGGCGCTGGACCCTTACAAGCCGCGGGGGACCGGCTTGGGAGAGAGTCGCAGTCGGCGGAGGTCCGGGCGCTCCAAGCGCTTCGTGTCTATCCCGCGGTACGTGGAGACACTGGTGGTGGCGGACGAGTCAATGGTCAAGTTCCACGGCGCGGACCTGGAGCATTATCTGCTGACGCTGCTGGCCACGGCGGCACGACTCTACCGCCATCCTAGCATCCTCAACCCCATCAACATCGTCGTGGTCAAGGTGCTGCTTCTCGGAGACCGCGACACAGGGCCCAAGGTCACGGGCAACGCGGCCTTGACGCTGCGCAACTTCTGCGCCTGGCAGAAGAAGCTGAATAAAGTGAGTGACAAACACCCAGAGTACTGGGACACGGCCATCCTCTTCACCAGGCAGGTGAGTTGATCTGTCATCTCTTTGGACCCCAATAGCCCCATTTTCTTAGGGTCACCTCCCTTAGCTCTCCAAATGCCCTTTGTGCCAAACAAGTGACCCCGGGTTAAAATTTCATTGATCTCTTCCGACTCCCACTTTGGATCTTCCAGGGACAGGCCGCTCTTAGGCTCCGAGGAACTTCGGCTCTAGGGCATCTGGATGCACGTGGGCGGTCGGAGGAACGCCCGCTACTTCAGAAGGTGTTGGCCCGGCGTGGCCAATCAGCGCCTCCTCGATCAGGCGCCGAGGGGCCGGAACCCAGGAAGTTGCCGCCCCGGAGCCGCAGTGTGTCTCCGCGGCAGATAGGAGGCGCTCTGAGGATGGTGTTGGAGGGGTCGGGAAAGGTCCGCCCCTATTCAACCCGGGCGTCTAAATCCTTTCAGATATCTCTTCGCAGGCTTCTCTTCTCTTCTTGTAAAACTGGAAGGTGATGCAAGCATCCCAGTTCAGAGCCTGGCTTCGTTTCCTCTGGGCATGTTGAGTTATCCTCTGTCCTGGGCCTGCAAAACCTGGATTGGGATGGAGGGAATCATTTGGGATATTTTGTGGTTGAAATGGAAAGGACAGACTCAAGTACCGGGAGCATTCCGTCCTTTGTTGCTGCTTCTCCCATACCCTCCTGTGCTGGCCCGCCTTTTACCTGAGGGGATTCCGGTCTATTCAGAGCAGGCAATCTAGTTAGACACTGAAACTTCCAATGACCACACTTAACGGTAGCGCTCCAGCTTCTGTCCCTGGCGGTGTGCAAGTGGTGTGAGCTTGGTAAAGAGCGTCTGGAGACCCCAGGTGTGGGATTGGAAAGATCCTGAGTATGGGGCTTAGAAAGATGGTCAGATCACAGAAGCAGCTCTGCCTTTTGCTATGGGTCTATGAACATTTACATTCATAGATACTGGAGTGATTGGGTACTGTGAAGTTTTTGGATTCTTGCAATTTCTCAGATTCGTGGATGGGACTGGGAGGAAGATGGGCATCCAAGTGACCTGGTTCCTCTGATTTTGGGGGCTGCAGCTCGAATCTGTGCCATGCTCTTGTTTTGTTATTATCGCAACCACGTCATTCTGGGGATGGCCCAGAATCCTCGGTTGCCTGTGGGGCTGCCACTCCCCACTCTTTCCAAAGGCCACTCAGAGCTGTCCTGGCACACACGGGGCTGGAGCTAACGTCTTCCACACGAACCCATTTGGCACCGCTTGTTCCCTCCTGGAATTGAACTTCCTCCTTTCCCAGCCTTCTCCTCCCACCACCTGGTTTCTCCAGGGAGGGCTTTGGCCTGAGGCTGTTTCCTTGCACTCATTCTTCCAACTGAGGTCTGTAAAGCTGCCACTGCCCCTATACACACTGCCTGAGTCATGGGGAAACTGCAGCGGAGGTGGCTTCCACCTCTGCACGCAGACCGACTCGGCAGTCAGATGGCTGGGGGAAAAAAAAAGCAAAGGCCAAGAACAGGATATCTTAATGGGCAAAGCAGCTGTTGGCCCATCTGCTACCTGGGATGCCCCCGTGGAGGTCATTCTCGGCTTCTGAAGTAACAGACCTCAGTCTCCGCCGCTTAGTGGCTAGGCTGACTTTTGGAACCAGCCCTAGAAAGAGGACTCCTGCTGGGAATACGGGCCACACCACCAGAAGGATTCACCTTTTGAAGAAGCAGCAATCAAGCAGCGTGACAACTTCTGTCTGTCAGTGGTTGTGTGCGAGACCCAGGGGCTATGCTAACCATGCATAATGGAGACAAGATGCATGAGCACTTGGGTCAGAAGGAGTGATGTTCAAGATGTGACTTTTAGAAGCTGTCTTTCTCTTAGGCGTCTAGAGGGCGAAGCCGGAAAGTGGGGAGGCTGTGTTGGCAGGACCGATATCCAGGTATGTGCTTAGTGCTTTAGAGTGAACATCTCTCTCTCATCTCCTTGCTGGCGCAGACTTTAGGGCCTGCTGCATTCTCAGCGTCTTAGGAACTGCTCATTCCTGAACTCCCCTGGGGAAGGTGCAGTATGGGATGAGAGCAGAGTGCACAGCCGCTCTTTGTAGACCAAGGCAGATTTGGTCTCCGGGAACCAGGAGTCTCCTGCTGTCCTCCAACACAAGAGGAACTTCTGTTGTACTTTGTAAGGATTAGTAGTAATCCTTTAACTCAAACATGAGCTTCCCTGATTATTACAATGTTGGTGTAATCAATGCTTTTTCAAACTAAAATTGGAATATATATATATATATACACACATATACATATTGATTCTATGAAGATAACATTGATCCTTGAACAACATAGGTTGAACTGCATGGGTCCACTTGTATGTGGACTTTTTTTGATACCATACAGTACTCTAAACGTATTTTCTCTTTTGGTTTTCTTAATAACATTTCATTTTCTCTAGTTTACTTTATTGTAAGAACACAGTACATAGTACATACAGCATACAAAATATGTGTTAATCTGGGGCGCCTGGGTGGCTCAGTCATTAGGTGTCTGCCTTCGGCTCAGGTCACGGTCCCAGGGTCCTGGGATCAAGCCCCGCATCGAGCCCCGCATCGAGCCCCGCATCGGGCTCCCTGTTCGGCGGGAGCCTGCTTCTCCCTCTCCCACTCCCCTTGCTTGTGTTCCCTCTCTCGCTATGTCTCTATCTGTCAAATAAATAAATAAAATCTTTAAAAAAAATATGTGTTAATCGACCGTTATCGGTAAGGCTTCCTGTCAACAGTAGAGTATTCGTAGTTTAAGTTTTTGGGGAGTCAGAAGTTGTATGTGGATTTTCGACTGCATGGGGTTCAGTGCCCCTAACCCTCATGTTGTTCAAGGGTCAACTGTATATAGTTTGTTTGGATAAGAAGTTTTCAGAAATGTGCTTATTCTGTTAATCACCTTTTGTCTATAACGGATCTTGAACTGTCAGACATCTTAGGGTCACCTATTCCTTGGTCCCCCCAGAAAATTCTGAAAAATGGCTAGTGACTCTGACTGATAGTACTCTAGTTGTGGTTTTCACAGGGAGGAGGCGGTAAAGGGTTGGGCTTGGTCAGACTGTATTTCCTCCTGTGAGGAAGAGGTGAGCACAGCTCCTGGAGAGTTCCGGGTGCCGGGTACCTGAAGGGAGGACAGTAGGAGCATCAGGACTGGCAGGCACTGGAGCTTCCCCTTCAACCCACTGTCAGAGTTGTTGTGTGTTTAAACAAGGCTGGGCCAGGCTACGGGGAGACTGCTGTCCTCTTGGCAGGCAGAGGGAGGGGCGTGGGGCGTTGAAATCAAAACACTGGGAAGACGTGACCCAGGGAGGAGCCTTTGCTGTGTGCAAAGGAGAAAAAAAAAAGATCATACAACAAGTATCTTGACAACTTGAGGAGTTTACTTAAAGATTCAGAGTAAGTTCATGTTCCTGGAGAAGGAGCACACATCTGATTTTGCAAAGCAATCAGTCTCCAGACTCATAACAGCAGGGTGAAGTCAGCACGGGATTGGAACCAGGATCTGCGGAGAATTAGAGCCAGTCTTTCTGGGTGGACATTCATTTCTATGAGAAGAAACGTTTCTATGGCTTCTTGTTGCCGTGGGCAGCAGGAGCGGGATTTGGTGCTGGGACGTAGTAGGAGTCCCAGCTGAGCCTGAGCTGTCTTCTCTCTCTTTACCTCTGATGCCTCTGCTATCTGGGTAACTTTGTGGTAGACCCGGTTTCATGAATTTGTTCTACATTTTAAAAATACTTATTGAGCATCTGTTATTTCCAGGTACTGCCCTGGGTTGTGGAGGTACAGATATTAAGATGTGGCCCCTGGCTTTCAGGAATTCACCAAATATCAGGGAGCCTGATAAGGAAGTAGCTTGTTACACTAGGGTGTGTTAAGTGCCATGAGGGAGACATGGGCCCTCTGTCCGAAGTCCAGTGGGAGACATTCTCCTTGCTTCGGAGCCAGGGAAGCCTTCGGGGATGGGGTGGGGTGGGGGGACAAGGGACAGGTGGCAAGAAGGCACTGGGATGGGAGCTAGTGGCGATGGGAAAGGAAGCTTGTTTCCTGTGTTGCAGGAGGCTCTCTCCTCCATTCCACCATCTGTTTTGCTATTTGTAACATTTTCTCCTTTGAATTGACTTGGTCTTGTAGGATTTACAGTTTGTGGTTTTTCTGCTGGCTTATTTCTTCATTTATGTTGTTTATTCTGTTGCCCTTAGTACCACCGTGTGCCATTCCCTTGTCCCCTCCTTCCTTCACCATTTTTTTCTGTGCTCTCTTTCTCCTCTTTTGAGATTCTCCAGGGCAGGCTCCCTTTCATCTTTCTCTTCTGTTTCCTTCATTCATGTCCTCACCCTTTCTGCCTCTCAGTCCCAAGCTTGGCACTTACCTTCTTGTTTTGGCCTTGAGTTGTACTACATTGTGTGTGTGTGTGTGGGGAGGGGGGGCGGCGAGCATACATGTATTCTATACTGTGCAGAGTGGAACAGCACTCTGGAACCTCATTTGAAATAGAAGCCAGTTTTTTCTATAATAAACAACTTGCCATATGGCAGTGAAATTTAGTGTTCGATAAAAAAAGGTTAATAAAATGATAATATGTATTTTATACATATCTCCTAATACAATAAAGAGAATCGTAATTTTGTCAGGATCTTTTTTGAAGTCAGGACTTGGAAGATATTAGCAGAGAGGGGCATCTGTAATTTCGGTATTTAAGAGTTTGTAAATTTTTATCACTGAATGGAAACTCAACACTACTTCTAGGAGGGAGGGAGGCGGGAGGAGAAAGAGAGAGGAAGGATTGGAATACGGTTCCTCCCCAACTTGGAAGGTGATTGCTCTTCTCCCTCCTTCTTTTACTTATACCAAATAAGAAAGCCTGTATTAATGGTGGAGGATGGGGGAGGAAGTTTGGAGGAAGGAATGTGTACCAGAATCTCTCTCTCTTTTTTTTTAGTTTTTATTTAAATTCCAGTTAGTTTACATACAGTGTAATATTAGTTTTAAGTGTACAATAT